AGGTGGAGGAATCCGCGGGATTGAAGCGGTTGTGGTTCCCTGAAAGGGTCGGGAGGGAGGGAATCACGGGAATGAGGCCATTGGGAATGAGGGTGGCACCTCAGTGTCCCTGGGAGAGGGGGGGCAGAGCCATCCCTGGCTCCCAAGGCCTGGGGGATTCCCCATTGTCCAAGAAGCCACAGGGCTGCCAGACACGCTCCAGACACCCGGAGACATTCCGGACACCTGGACATACTCCGGACATGCTCCGGACACATTCCAGACACCTACTGCAGGCTGGGCTGGAGCAGAAGACAGAGGGAACCCAAAGGTTGGAAGAGCCGGTGTCGAAGACAACGGTGAATTCCTGGGCTGGAGTCCCGATGGAGATGGTGCCGAAGTACTCGTCCTGTCGGAGCGGGATGGGAAAAGAAGAGTGGGATTGGGAAGGGGACAGTGGGGTGGGGATAGTGGGATGAGATAGTGGGATGGGGAAGGGGACAGTGGGAAGAGGGTAATGGGATGGGAATGAGGATAGTGGAATAGGGAAGGGGAGAGCGGAATGGGGACAGTGGGATGGGGAAGTGGTTAGTGGGGAGGGGATAGTGGGATAGGGAAAGGGATAGTGGGACTGAGAAGGGGATAGTGGGAATGGGACAGTGGGACTGGGAAGGGGACAGTGGGATTGAAAAGAGGATAGTGGGAATGGGATAGTAGGATGGGGAAGGGGATAATGGAGAGGGGATAGTGAGGTGGGGAAGGGAATAGTGGGAAGGGGATAATAGGATGCGGAAGGGGTGAGTGGGAGGGGGAGAGAGGGATAGGAAAAAGGATAGCAGGATTGGAAAGGGGAAGTGGCCCCCGTGGCCCCCCAATCCCAATCCCATTCCCTCACATCCATGTAGTTCTGCAGGGGTTCCACAGCGATCCCAGGGAAGTACTTATCAGCCAGGTTATAGGGATTCTGCTCCAGGAAACTCTCCAGCAATCCCTGCTCCCGCAGCCTCTCCCGCAGCGACTTCATCTTCCTCAGGGGGACCCTGTGGACACCGGGATCCATCACCGGGATCATCCCACATCCCACATCCTTTGGGACGGGGGCCCTTCCTGGTGCTCACCTGGTCCCCAGGCCCTGGGCCAGGACCACCAGGGAGAGGAGCAGGAGCAGCTTCATGGTGGGAGCTCCGGGAATGTGAGCCTCCACTCCCGCTCCCGCTCCTTATATCCCGGCTCCCGTGTTTGGCCGGCGGCTCCGATAAGAAAAGCAAACGGTTCTCGGGATTCTTATCACAACGTCCTTAAGGAAGGTGGCCGGGGAGGGGGGGAATGTCAAGCCCTTATTCCCAGAGGTAAAGTCGGGATACTGGGATGGGAGGGAAGCGCTCCCGGTGTCCCGAGGGAAGGCGCTGGGAGCCGGTGGGAATGTGGGGTTGGGTTTGTCCCCTGGATCGCCCCCAACTCCCGGCTGGAGGGTTTGATCCCTGGATTGCAGCTCACCAGGGATGAGGCAGCCAAGGCTTTCCTGGGAGATCCATTCCAGGGCCTCGTTACCCTCACAGGGAAGGTTTCATTCCCAATATCCCACCTAAACCCACCCTCTGGCAGTGGGAAGCCATTCCCTGTGTGTCCTATCATTCCAGGCCCTTTTCCAAGGTCCCTCTCCATCTCTCCTGGAGTTGCTTTAGGGGCTCCAAGGTCTCTCCAGAGCTTTTTCCTCCAGCCAATCTATTCGAGATTTTCAGGCTGCCAGCTCCAGATTTTCCATTCTGGGAATCAGCCAAGCCCTTCTCCTTCCCAAACCCCTCCAACACATCCCATCCTCCTTTTTTCCTCTAGGATAATCCGCTGCTTCATCCCTTTTCTCCCAACATCCCCCTGGATCTTTATCCATTTCACTCCCCCCCTGGAATTCAGCCCAAATCCTCGGATTCTTTTGTTCTTCCTAGCTGGGAATGGGGCTGATTCCAAGGGAAGAATTCCAGCTCTGGCCTTAGGGAGCCTTTGATCTCCTCCAGGACAAGGTGACCGTTCCAGGATCCACGTGGTGCCGTGAGGGAAGCCAAGATTCCCGGCCCAGCTCCAGTGACCTTCAGCATTCCAGTGGCATCCGGAGCTGGACCTTCCCCTGGCTGCTCCCACTTTGACCCCACAGCTGGTCCCAGTTCTGCAGCAGCACCAGGAAAGGGTGAGAGGGATGAAATCCCAGTGGAAGCAAGACATGGAAGTCTTGGACCAAAGCCAGAGGAGGGCATGGAGGTGATCCGAGGGATGGGAAAGGCTGGGAGAGCTGGAATTGTCCAGCCTGGAGAAGAGAAGCTCCGGGGAAATCTTGGAGCCTCTTCCAGTGCCTCAAGGGGCTCCAGGAGAGCAGGAGAGGGATTTTGGGAATGGGAATGGAGCGACAGGACAAGAGGGAATGGCTCCAAACTGGAAAAGGGGCGATTTAAATGGGATATTGGGAATAAATCCTTCCCCGTGAGGGTGGTGAAGCACTGGAATGGATTTCCCAGGAAAGCTGTGGCTGCCCCATCCCTGGAACTGGCGAAGGCCAGGCTGGAAAAGGGCTTGGAGCAACCTGGATTAGTGAAAGGTGTCCCTGTAAATTTGAAGCTTCCAAGTTGTCCCTGTTTTTGGGCCAAAATAGGAGGGAATACAAAAATATTCCCTTATCCCAGAGCTGTTTATCCACTTAATTCCCAGAGCTGCCATCCCAGGGGATCAGGACTCCAGATTTTCCAATGGAAAGTTTTTGCCAGGGATGGGAAGTTTCAGGACAAGTTGGTTGTAAATCCCATCCGCAGGAGGCAAAATCCTGCTGGATTTTTGGATGAATCCTTATCCCCAGTGGGAAGAAGTTGTGGGATTCAGGGACGGGGAAAAAATGGGAATTAATGTTCACCACTAATTAAATCAGGAATAAAAAGGTGGGAGGATGGAAAAATAACCCCTTTGAGGGTGTGAAATGGCTTTTCCTCAGGGAGAAATTGGGATTTTTCCAACCTCGGTGGGGAAATTCAGGGATCCTGGAATAACCCATCCTGGACCTGAGATTTTAGGTTGGGAGCAGGTGACCGAGGCCTCCCTGTCCCAGCTTTCCTTGGCACCAGAGGGCACCCAAAAAAACCCGGATCTGGATCCATTCCTGATTCAGCCAGGGATTCCTGGTCAAACCCTCCCTCCAAAAAATTTAGGTTTGTTCCCAGAAAATCCTGGTTTGAAAGTGGAAACGCCACTTGGGATGGATTTAACTCCCACAGGAACCACCCTCTGAATCAATATTTCGGGATTTTCCAGCTTTTGGGACATCAAAAGCCCGGGAACTTCCTTAATTTTACCCCCAAAAAAATCCCCTAACGGAGTCAGGGCTTATCTTGGAATGGATTCAGGAAGGAAACTTGTTTTCCAGGCCCTGTTCCCAGTTCTTCTTGTCCCTTTATCACCCCGGAGCTTTATCAGAGCTGTCAGATGAAAGGAGGGAATTCTGAGGCTCCTGAGGAGGCAAATCTCCGGGATTTGCTTAAAAATATTGAATTAAGTTATCAAGGATCTTGGCATTCCCTGTGGGAATGGAATTCTGCCGGGCAGGGACCTCAGATAACCTTTTCCTACCTGATTTTGGGTGGGATTAACACAAAATCCAAGGGACAAAACCCAGATGTAACCATCTTTTATGGAAATTAGGGAGATTAATAAGAAAATAATGGGAATATCCTTTAAAAAGGAAAAATTATCCCAATTTTTATTGCTGGATAACATATTTAAACGGATATTTTCCCATTTATTCCTTGCAAATCTGAATACAATTTAATTTATCCTTAATCCTTAAATTTTAATGTAAAAGAATCCCAGGTGGAACTATGTTAATGGGAATTAAGGATATTAATAAACAGGTTATGGGAATATGCTCTCCAAAACACCCCTTTATCCCATTTTTTATTGCTGGTTAACAATTAAATGGATATTTTCCCATTTATTCCGCAAAAATCTTGATTTTTCCTCTCCCCAATCCATAATTTTTATATCAAATGTTAACTAAACATTTTCCACCTTTTCCACATGTTTGGAAAACTGCTCCAAACAAGACCAGAAAGCACTTCTTTCCCTTTGGAAAGTCGAGTCCCTTTGTTTTCCCATAACATTGGGAGTTTGACCTGTTTATCAGCCGCGCTGGGAACAAGTTGTCCTTGATCCAACCGGAATTTTTTGGGATCATGTGATTCCCATTTATTCCATTTATTCAGGTGACTTGTGGGATCAGAGGTGCCTTTCCTGGATCCTGGGGGCACTTTGGGAACAACCTTCTGCTGTCTTCTGAAGGAGCTGCTCTCCCCATTCCTTATCCCTGTCTGGGATTTGGGAATGTGGAGTTAATTTGGGAAAAGTGGGGCTTGGATTCGTGTTTCAGGTGATGGGATTGGAGCTTCCATGTACATTCTAGGAAACATATCCCTGTTTCATGCCAGGAGGGGCTAATCCAGGTATTCCAAAGGGATTTGCTTTGATCTCTTGGTTCCAGCTGGGAAAACCCGCCATTATAGGAACTTTTTGGGATGTTATCTGGATTTTTGAGATGTTGCTAAGCTCTGTGTGTTTTTCCTAAACCAGTTCCAATCGGGCCTTGGGCACTTCCAGGGATGGGGCAGGCACGGCTTCCCTGGGAAATCCATCACAGTGTTTTACTACCCTCACAGGGCTGGATTTATTCCCAGAATCCCACTAAACCCCTCGCCGTGTCCATACGACCCCACTCCCTAGTATGCTACGTCCCTTCTCCAAACCCCTTTCTTCACCTCTCTCAGCGCTCCTCCACCCCAATACCACGAAGGATATCAATCCTAGGGCGGCTACGACCCGGCAGGAGCCCCCTGGGCATCCAAACATTGATTAATTAGGAAAAAAATCCATTAAATTGCTCCCCAATCCCGCCCCCCCCAACATGGCGGCGCCGGGAGGAACCACCCGCGGCCTCCCGGGGGGGAGGAGGCGCGTCCCCCCTCGCTGTCGGCAATGGCCCCGCCTATTTCCGGTATGCGCCGGAACCCGGAAGTAGCGACGGGCGGAGGGTCTACGGTGAGTCCGGGGCTGGGCCGGGAATGGAAATATCGGGAATACCGGGAATAACGGCGACATAACGGCGCTAACGCGGCTGCTCCCGCTCGCTGCTGCCGTGCAATCACCCAGCGCTTCGCCTCCACCCCGCTGAGCGCCGTTGGGCGCTTCCCAGAGCCTATTCTTGAGTTTTCCCGCTCCTGGCATTCCCGTTTTTCCCGTTTAAACTCCATAAAATTTCGTTAAGAGACAAAAAACCTCCTGAATCGGGTGATTCCCGTGCGGGGGGAAAGCCCCGCGCCTGCAGCGCGGGACGCAATTCCCTGTTTTCCCCTCGGACAGGTTTATCGGGATCATGGATTGAGACATTCCTGAGGCTCTTGCGACATTGCCGGGGTGAAATCCTTGGGATGCTCCACTTGGATAAGAGGTAGAAGAGCCGGGAGCCATCAGGACGGCACAGGTTTGTGGGGTGTCCCTGGTTTTTTTATGGCATTCCCGCATTATCCCCTCCCAGCTCTTGGAATTTGCGCCACAAACGCAGGATAATTCCTACATATTATTGGAAAACCTGGAATATTTAGGATAAATCGCAGATATAATACGGGAAGTCCTGGATTTTGTGTTGTTTCACTGCCTTCCACGTCAGAGGGTGGAACTGGATGATCCATAAGATCTTTTCCAACCCTTTGGAAACAGTGGGATAGGAGCAGGTCCAGTTTTCCTTGGAAGGACGGGAATCTGGGGTGGGATGGAGCCTGGAATGAGTCAGAATCTGGAAAATGGGGGAGAGATTCAGATGGAATTTGCTGGTCAGGGCTGGGAGTGGGTTTTTCTTTGACAAAACCCTCTGGGATGCACAAAATTCTTTCCAAACAAGCTGTGAAAAGCTGGGAGAAGGTGGAAAAAAGTCATTCCTGAAGGAGGAATTAGTGGGAATGTTGCTTTGCCCTCGCTGTGCTGCTCTGGGAGGTTTAACAAAGCCGGAGTTCAATCCCTGCAAGGACAAACAGCTGGATTGGGGGATTTATCCACCTCCTTTTCCGTGTCCCAGGAATCCGGGAGGATGGACACACTCAGGAACAGGACGGTGGAGGAGCTCCGGGAGCTGCAGGAGGATTCCCAGGAAATCGAGCGCTTGGCTCTGGAATCACAGGAGGTTGGTGGGGGGGTCACCCCGGGGTTCCCTCGTCCCGTTCCCGGCATCACTTCTCGAATTCCGCAGGTGCAGGAGCTGCAGCTGGAGCGGGAAATGGCCTTGGCTTCCAACCGGAGCTTGGCCGAGCAGAACCTGAAATTCCAGGCGCCGCTGGAATCGGGACGAAGCGACCTCTCCAAGAAGTACCTGGAGCTGCAGGAACTGGCCGGGAGGTGCCGGGAGCAGAAGGAAAAGCTGGGTGAGCCCTGGGATCATCCTGGCTCAGGAATGAAGGATTCTGCTTCCCAGAAAGCCAAGATCCCACTTTTTTCCCAGGAGAGATCCTTTTGGGTTTTCCTCCTTCCCCGAGTGATTCCCAGGGCTGATCCTGTGGGATCTCTGCTGGTTTTTCCCGATGGTCGTGATTTTTCCATGGTTTTTTTTTTCCTTTTCTTCCATGGTTTTCCCAGAGAAATCCTCAGCAGCGCTGCAGCCTCAGACTCTGCTGGAGCTGCTCCAGGTGGAAAGTCAGAAGATTGAGGAGGAATCCGAGGTGAGCTCGAGGCTTCAATTCATCGGGAATCCCGGGGCTTCATCCTCAAAGACTCCCAGCTAACCCCAATCCCAAAAATCCTGGGTTATGCCCGGACTTTGCTGGTCTTTCTCCCCCCCAAAAATCGGATCGATCCTCATTTGTGTGGAGTCTGGGAAAGACCTAAATCCCGAAGCGGGATGAGGGAAGAGGAGCCGAGGGATCCCGGGATGAAGCTGAGGCTGTTCCTCTCTTCCAGAAAATGGCGGAGAAATTCCTGGAGGGCGAAGTGCCCTTGGAAACGTTCCTGGAGCAGTTTGCCACCATGAGGAAATTGTCCCACCTGCGCCGGGTCCGCGTGGAAAAGCTGCAGGAGATCGTGAGGAAGTCGGAGGGATCCCAGGAATCTGGCCGGGACTCGCAGCCTCCTCCTCCTCCTCCTCCTCTCCCTCCTGCTCCTCACATTCCTGGCTCCGGGGATCCTCCACAGCCCTTCCCAGCGGGATCTCCACCCTTCCCCCTTCCCTACAGCCCAGCTCCCGCGCTCCCTCCCGGCCCCCCGGCCCACGGAGCGCTGCCTCCCGCGCCTTTCCCAGCAGCTCCGGCTTCTTCCCAGCCCGGCTCCCAACCCTTTCCTTACCCAGCTCCCGGATATCCGTCAGCTCAGGCTCCCAGAGCCGCCTCCGGAGGCTATTCCTGGTCTCCATCCCGGGCCCCTCCGCAGCCGGCGCCGTATCCCGGTCCCAGTCCGTCTCCTCCTCCCAGGCCGGGATACTCTCCCTACATCCCTCCTGGAGCGGGAAGGCCACCCTATCCCACCCAGCCCCCTCTCCCGAATTTCCCGATCCCGGCACAGCCTCCCTATCCTGGGGCTCCCCCACCCTTTGGATACCCCCCCCCTCCCAACCCTTCCCGTCCGGCTTGGCCTGGATACTAATCCAGGACTTTCCGGGAGCATCCTCTGCTGCTTCCTTCTTTTTCTGGGGATTGAGGAACAGGTGGAATCCCAGGAATTCCGTGGGATGAGAGTCACAGCTCCAGGAGTCAGAGCCAGGTGATTCCCAGCTGGATATAGCAAGAAGGGGCTGCCCCTCAGGGCTGGAATTCCGGAGAGGAGAAGGCTCCAGGGAGACCTTGGAGCACCTTCCAGAGCCTAAGTGGGCTCCAAAAGAACTGGAAAAGGACTTGGATATAATGGGCTGGAATGATGGGATAAAGGGGAATGGCTTCCCGCTGCCAGAGGATGTGTTTAATGGGATATTGGGAAGAAGTTCCTCCCTGCAAGGTTGGTGAAGCACTGGAATGGATTTCCCAGGGAAGCTGTGGCTGCTCCGTCCCTGGAAGTGTCCAAGGACAAGTTGGACGGGGCTTAGATCCACCTGGATTAGTGGAACGTGGTTGGAACGGGATGACCCTTAAAATCCCTTCCCACCCAGCCATTCCAGGATTGTCTGGGAGTCGGTGATTCCCACCCAACCTCTGGTATTCCCGACCTCCCGCGTGGTTTTCCGGGCTCCTCACATCCCCCTTCTCAGGAAACACTTGGAGACAGAGGGAACGACAAATACCGGGAATGGGATTTGCTTTGCTCAGCACTTTATCCTACGAGTCCCGCCCGTATCCCTGGAAGTTATTTATAAGGAGTGGTTACTAATGGACTAGGATGGGGCTTTGTGGGATTTCATGGAAGCAATTCCATCCCTGGGGTTAATTACAGAAATAAAACTGCATTAATTAATTCCATGCTGGAGTCACAGCCAGTATTTTGTTCGGGAATGACGGAGCATCCGCCTGTGGGTTGATCCCTTTATCCCTTCCTGGCATCCCGACACCGGCTCCCTTTGGATTCCAACCTTTCCTCCTCTCCCAGCACCATCTCCCAACACATTTTTCCTGCTTTTCCTGCGCTTATCTTTCCTCAGGGACACGTTTGCTTGGGGCTCTTTGGGGTAGAAAAACAGGGAAAATTGCCTTTCCCTGTTTTCCTGTCCTGCTTTTCCCTCCTGACCGGGAGTCTGGTGCTCTGAGGAATTGCTCTGGGATATGGGAAGGAAGAGGACAAGGTGTAATTAGTACAAAAATCCCAGTTTTATTACAGTTGTTGGATATTAAATATCTTGGATTCCTTCCCAGTATTCCCACCCTCCCTGGACTTGAATCCCTTTCCTTTATCCATGGGTTTGGAGCCATGGAAAACCTGATGATCCCTCTCCAAAAGGCCTCCTAAATCCGTATAAATACCTTAAGAACCCCCAGAACTCCTCTTTTTCTCCCTGGAACGCTGGGATCCCCCTACAGCTGAGCCGGGAGACGGGAACGGTTCCTTTGGGAATCCTTTGGGAATCACACCCTGCGGGCAGAGCGCAGGTCATAGTCGCTGTCCGAGGAGTTCTCCGGGGGGTTGGAATGTCGGAGCGCTCCTTCCAGGGCTGTGGAGGGGATGGGATGCGGCTCAGGGGGTGCCTGGAGGGTTTATCCGTGGAAGAGGAGCCGCTTTCAGCGTTTACCTGGATAAGCGGAGAGCTGGGAGCTCTTGGGCGGGGTCACGGTGTAGTCATTGTCCCCTCCCTGTCCCCGAGACCTCGGAGCAGCAGAGCTGGAGCGGTGGAAGGAGACTGGAACACAAGGTGGGATTGGGATTGGGAGTGGGATTGGGATTTGCGGGCTGGAAGGGCAGTTTGGAGGGAATGGACCCACCCCCGGGATGGGGCTGAGGGAAATCAGGTGAGTTGTATCCAACACCAGGAATCCCAAATCCACCCCCAGGAGTCCCAGTCCCACTCCTAGGAATCCCAATCCACCCCCAGGAACTCAAATCCCACCCTCGGGAACCCAAATCCACCTCCTGGGGCCCTAAATCAACTCCCAGGATTCCCAAATCCACCCAAAGAAACCCCCAGTCCCACTCACAGGAGCCACAAATTCACTTCCAGGAATCCCAGTCCTATCCCCAGGAGCCCAAATCCCACCCCATGGGCCCCAATCCCACCCCCAGGAGCCGCAATCCCACCCCCAGGAATCCCAAATCCATGCCCAGGAGCCCCAAATCCACCCCCGGGAGCCCAAATCCACTCCCAGGTGCACAAATTCCCCCCCCAGGAACACCAATCCCACCCCCAGGAACCCCAGATCCCAATCCCTGCCCCCTCACCCGTCTGGTTGAGGCCTGTGGGGCCGATCCATTGGCGCTGCTTTTTCTTGGAGACTGGAAGGCAGAGGTGGGCGGAGAGCGGGAATTGTCTCTCCAAGGATCTTCCTGATCCTTCCTCCAGCTGCTCCCCCCCCGCCAGCTCCATATGTCATCCCAAATAATCCCCTCCCACACCATAATTCCCCCTCAGGATCCTCCGGTTGCTCCTTTGTGTCCACTTGGAGCTTAATCCCCCTTCCCGCTCCCCTGCTTTGTGCCCATTCCACGTGGGACAGGCTTAGGGATAATGGGAGAGGGTCTGGGGATAATGGGACAGGTTTGGGAACAATGGGACAGGCTTGGGGACAATGGGACAGGTCTGGGAATAATGG